GAGAGAGCACATGAGAGGGGGGAGGGTCAGAGGGAGAAGCAGGCTCCTCGCTGAGCAGGGAGCCCGATGCGGGACTCGATCCAGAGACTCCAGGATCATGACCTGAGCCGAAGGCAGTCGCTTAACCAACTGAGCCACCCAGGCGCCCCATAATTTATCTCTTATTCTTGTTGTTCATTCGCCTAAGGGATATTCCTCAAACACAACACAACCCTGACAGACATTTCTGAGGATGCACACATGCTTTTGGCATAACTCCACACTTTCTACTTTCTTGTATAAATGCTTTCTTTATCCCCTTCAGCTTTCATCTTTACGTGAAATAACATTACATGTTTCACTTTGTCTGTATCCCTCATGGGAATTAAACTAACATGGCCCTGCTCTTCCTGCAGGTTCTGCTTTCAGCAGAAGCACTTATGGACCCTGCACCGGTGAGTGTCAGGTGTCCTGGAACTCTTTTGCTGCCACTCTTCCTGCCCTTGGTGTCTCGACACTCTAGATAAGCCCCTAAGCCCGGGTCAGACGTTATATGGAGAGAGGTGCCCACTTTTGGCAAGCAACGGGGTGAGGTGTGAAAGGTGTCTTAGGTATCAGTATGTACAAAGCCTTGGGCTTGGAGGTGAGACTGAGATGGGAGTGTTCTAGGTCTCATATGTCTGTTGAGAACAGAGGGCTGGGAGCCAAGTCAGGGTTCTGTTCTGAGAGTGATGGTAGCAGTCAAACAGTTCTGGAGAAGAGGAGAAAACTGAATCTGGCTCGGGTCTTGAGAAGCTGCCCTTGGTGATACAGTACACTACAGACTGGGGAAGAGGGAGACGAGATCATTAAACGAGGCTACATCAGGATTGGTAGCTGGGCTAAAGTGGTAGATGTGGAGGTAGAAGACTGTTTGGCTTCTGGATTTGTCTTTTGGGTTTTTAAGATTTCTTTATTTGAGAGAGAGTGAGCAAGAGAACACATAAGCAGAGGGAGGGGGAGAAGCAGACTCCTCTGTTTAGCAGGGAGCCCGATGCCAGGACCCTGAGATCATGACCCAAGCTGAAGGCTGACACTTAAGCAACTAAGCCACCCAGGTGCCCTGGATTTGTTTAAAGATTTATTTGCAAGAGAGAGCACAAGAGCGGGGAGTGTCAAAGGGAGAAGCAGACTCCCCAGTGAGCAGGGAGCCTGATGCCAGCATTCTTGGATCATGACCTGAGCTCAAGGCAGATGCCTAACCTGCTGAGTTCACCCAGGTGCCCCTGAATTTGTTTTTAAAGTAGGGCTGACCAGGTCACAGATGGCTCCATGGTTTTTGGTGAGAATATCAAGGTATTAGGATTTGGCCATGTTGAGTCTCAAATGTTTCAGAGATTCCCAAGTATAGGTGACAGATGGACAGCTGGTCCTGCATTTCTCAAGATGTCCACACTGTGGCATCTGTTGTGTGTCCCAAGATAGAGATCTAGAACTCTGGATCTCATATAGGAGGAGGCGTGTTCAGGTTACAGTGGCGTTGCCATTGGAGGACAAGGGAGGAGAGCTGTGGAGGATAGATGGCACGAAGATGGACAAGACAGAATAGTAGTAATCGGAAATGCAGAGGGAGGTATGGGGAGGGGAAAGTCCAACAGGTAGCCAGATTTTCAGAGGAGTGAACATGAGACCAGAGCAATAATGGTCAAACTGGTACTTAATCACCCTTCTAGGCACTCACCCAACCAGGCTTTTGTGGTGGTTCTGTCAGGAAGTCATAAGATAGCTTACATAAAAAGTGTGTTACTGGGACCTGGATTATACCTGGTAAAGTGGCAAGACACACAAAATGTGCAATGTAGAGGCAGAATGTGACCAAGGGTATTTAGATCTGCATGTGGTCTAAGCCAGGAACAAGGTCAGGTGGAGAAGCCCCTTCTTTGCAGGGCTGGAGGCCATTGGAGGTTGGGATTTATTACTGCACTTGGCATGCACTTCCTAGATGCCACACACAGACAGAAGTCAGTTTTATGGGCTAACTGGTGGTGGGGATCAGATGTATGATGGAGGTATGGTCCAATGAGTAGGAGTTTGAGAGAATGCTAGGCCCAACATGGTTATGTCTGGGAGGCATGATCCTGGGGGACTCACATATGTCTTACAGGAAAAGGATGGGGGTCCTGCATCTGAGGCCCAGAGATCAGAAGGCATCACTCTGACCACCTGCCTCTTTGTTGAAACTGGGTACCACTGCTTAAGCTGGAGAGCTGGGGCAGATAAGGAGCAGGGAAGGGAGTGAATGTGGGCTGGGGTTCGGGGTAGTTTTGGGGTCCTGCAGAGAGAGGCTGCTTACGGACATAACTGTCCCCCTCATCCCAGGGCTCTGTGACCTTTGAGGAAGTGGCTGTGTACTTTTCCCAGGAGGAATGGAGGCTTCTTAATGAGGCTCAGAGACAACTGTACCGTGATGTGATGCTGGAGGTCTTTGCACTTGTTGCGTCGCTGGGTAAGGCCCCTCACACCAACCCCAGTGTCCTGGGCTAATCTGTCTTTCCTCTTCTTTCTGGCTGCTGACGCTGGGGCATATATATGACACCTGGTTTCACAAAGAGCTCACCAACCAATCCCCAGTTCTGAAGCTCTTTCAGTAACAAGTTCCAGGATATTTTTGTTTCCTGAGGTGGTTTTGGGATTGGCTGCCCTGGACCAGTGCTGCCCACTTACCTGTCCTGTCTTTCCCTTAAAGGCTTGCATCTTCTAGATCCCATGTTGTCCAACTGGAACTGGGAGAACACCACATAACATGACAAAGTGGGCATGACTCCAACTGGGGGAGGATGTGATACAGAGCTGGGAATCCTATCAGGAACATGTCGTGTCCTGGGCTCAAACACTGTTTGGTGCCAAGGTCAGAGGCTTCTCCCCTTTTTTGACGTTTTGCCCACTTGTCATTTTTCCTCTCAGAAGAGACCTAGGAGTATATCCCTCCCCTGTCTTCTACCCTTCATTGGGGTCGCCACTGATCATTGCTCCTTCTGCTGTGCTCTCCAACATTGGCCTACACTTACTGTGTTGTACAGTCTGTATGTGCCCATACCCTTAAAATAATGCTTGAACACTGGTATAACCAAGGCACTGGCAAGAACACATTTCCGAAGATATGAGTTGCGGACCCAGCCCCTCCTCCCTGTGGTACACCCCATCCATGTTTCTTCTGCATGGTGAGTCCTGTGATGCAGCCCTTGCCTTCAAACTACCCCACCCCAGCTCCTTTTGTCTTGATCCCCTGGCGTCAAGGCAGGGGGAGGGTAGGCGGCCTCCTACCCAAGCTCGTCACTGTTCTCTGCTTTCAGGTTGTGGGCATGGAACAGAGGATGAGGCAGCACCTTCTGAGCAGAACGTTTCTGTAGGACGGTCACAGATAAATTCTACCAAGAAGGCCTACACCCAGGAACGTGGCCTGGACTCAGAAGGTGATTTGCATTCACCTTCTGAGTGCCTGGGAACAAACCCTGGCCAGAAACTGTGTGGGACACAGGGGACCGTTCACCAGCATCAGAAGGAGCACAGTGGAGACAAACCCCTCAGAAGGAACGCAAAGAGCTGTGTAACACACACATCAAGGAAGCCCTTCCCTGAGAGCTCAGGTCTTCTCCAGCACCAGCTCATTCACAGCCAGGGGCCACCACCTAAGGACACCAGCTGTGCAGAGCCTTTTCGCAACGGACAAAAGCACTATAAGTGCAGTGAATGCGGGAAAGCCTTCTGTCGCAAATACAGACTTGCTCAGCATCAGAGAGTCCACACTGGAGAAAGGCCTTATGAGTGCAATGAGTGTGGGAAAACCTTCAGCTACAAACACATACTTGTTCAGCACCGGAGAGTCCATACTGGAGAGAGGCCTTATGAATGCAGCGAATGCAGAAAAGCCTTCAGTAACAAACCCACGCTTGTTCGGCACCAGCGAATTCACACTGGAGAAAGGCCTTATGAGTGCAGCCACTGTGGGAAATTCTTTAGCCAAAGCTCCAGCCTTAGTGAACATCAGAGAATTCACACTGGGGCACGGCCTTATAAATGTAGTGAGTGTGGAAAATTCTTCACCTCCAACTCCAACCTAATTAAACACCGGAGAGTGCACACAGGAACAAGGCCTTATGAATGCAGTGAATGTGGGAAATTCTTTAACCAAAGTCCCAGCCTCATTAAACACCAGAGAATTCACACTGGTGAAAAGCCTTATGAATGCAGTGAATGTGGGAAACTCTTTAGCCAAAGCTCCACCCTCATCAAGCACCAGAGAGTTCACACTGGAGTAAGGCCTTATAAGTGCAATGAATGTGGGAAACTTTTTAGCCAAAGCTTTGGCCTCACTCAACACCAGAGAGTTCATACTGGAGAAAAACCCTATGAGTGCAGTGAATGTGGAGAATTCTTTAGCCAGAGCGCACAACTTACTCAGCACCGAAAAGTTCACACCACAGAAAGCCCTCATGAGTGCAGCAACTGCGGCAAAGTCTTCAGCCAAAGGTCTGCTCTGATTGACCACCAGAAACTTCACAGCCTAGCTAGACCTTACAAGTGCACTGAATGTGGGAAAGCCTTCAGCCGCAGGTCTAACCTCATTCGACACCAGAAAGTGCACACCGGAGAAAGGCCTTACAGTGGAGGTGGAGATAGCAGGGAATGAGCCAGGTGTTGAACACAGGAACATACCACAGAAGCCTAACACCCCCACATGTCTAAATACGCAGGTTGTAGGGAGCGATGTTCTTTCTAACCTGTCCAGGGCCCTTGCCACATTTGTCACTGCAACTTTCTCGGTGGGTGTCCCAACTTTGTATGCGTCAGTGGGGATAGATCGTATCATGGCACAGGCTAGCGGTCACTCTGGTTTTGGCCTAATTTACATTGCAGCCCAAAGCCTCCTAGGATAGACTACAGGGCAGTGCTTTTTATGTGACTAATCTTATAATCCAGATGTTGGGGTTTTCTGTGGGTCTAGAGGTCTCTCTGAGAGGACAGCTGCAAGAATCCTGTGTTTTTTGATTCAGCTTCTCTTTTTCACCTTGGAGGTTCACATAAGGTCCCCAGGTCCCAAGAGAGAGGTTTGGAAGGCTGGTCTCCCTGACTCCAGGCGTCAGGTAGGAACCACGTTCAGTACAAAAACACTGGGGACAGTAGGCAGTGACGAAAAAAAACGGCAAACTGGAGGGACTGTGGCTTACAGTAAAGGTTCTTGCAGAAATTCTGAGGCCCTTTGGAGCTTAACTGCTCCTCTTGCTCTCCAGTTAAAGAAAGGTGGGCAAAGGGAGAGTTGAAAACAGAACTAAGAAGTCCAGACCTCCGAAGGCAGTAGGTATGTGGTTTTTATGACCAACGGAGACTTGGCTTCCCCATTTCCTTGAACCTGTGCAGGTGAGCTCCAGTGGAATTGCTTGCCAGCTAGTACACACAGGAGAGCTCCCACTATGAAACCTAGGGTCGCCAAATTCCTACTTTTTCCAAAGAGAGGTTCAGATCTTTATCTGAAACCATTTCTGCTTGGCATGCAATATACTTAAAATGTACTTTGTAAGGTCACACTTCAAAATGGGTGTGCACAAAACAAAAATGCAACAGCTGGTACACTAATAAATTTTAACCGTAAGTATTTTCATCTTTTAACTCTGGCCGCCCAGGCAAATACTATTTTGTGTTCTCTAAAATTTTACATCATTGGAATCTTAAAGTGGGTACCACTCTTAAAAAGTTGGCTTAAGGGTACATAAGTGCATAATTAATACTCTGACAGCATTGAATAGTGCGATTTTTTTTAATTGCCAAGATGATTCACTTATTTGTTCATCCATTCACCTAACAGATTGGTTTTCTGCAGCTTGCTGTGAACATACAAATCCTCTCAAAATGGGTTTTGATACAGCTAGCCGTGCAATGCCTGAGTCTCTAAAGGGCTGGTGGTTACTCTGGTTCTTCTGTCATCCTCCCCACTTGAAACATGGTCACCTTTGTTCCAGTCTTTGTCATTAGTGGCTTTAAAAGGTGTGTAGTGGTGGGGCACCTGGGTGGCTCAGTCGTTAAGTGTCTGCCTTCGGCTCGGGTCATGGTTCCAGGATCCTGGGATCGAGCCCTGCATCGAGCTCCCTGCTCCGCCCTCTCCCAATCCCCCTGCTTGTGTTCCCTCTCTCGCTGTCTCTCTCTGTCAAATAAATAAATAAAATCTTTAAAAAAAAAAAAAAAGGTGTGTAGTGGTATGTCACCATGGTTGAGTTAACGCATTTCCCCTAACAAATTCAGTTTGCCACCTGTGCCCTTGCATAAATATTTGCTCATTCCAGTTGCTCTGAGTGCTGATGAAGACAAAAAGTTTTGGAAAAGTTTGCTAGTCCAATAAAAATTAAAAAGGAAACCAATAACTTTCACAGTTGTTTGTGCTGTTCACAGTCTGATGGCCACATACACTTTAAGCTTAGTTCTGCATGTAATAGTTGTGCATGTAAAAGTGTAAAAATGTTTTTAAATCTTTCCCAGTTCCAGCTGTGAGCATGAAAGTTGCCCACCAAAATGTGCCTTTAGAAGAAACGGTCAGTAAATGGTCTGTTTTCAGCAACTACTGCTACACAAACATAGCAAATAGTAAAATGCACTGAGATATATGAAAGGGACAAAAGTTTTAAGAATATTACTATGCAAATAAAGGATTAAATCAATTTAAATGTAACAAATCAGTTAAAAGTTCTCTTGATCTCTCTCCACATTCCAAAGAAAGGTTTAAACATTTACCACTTGCCCTTAAATCCTGGGACCTAACCTCTGAGCCCTTGGGAACTTCTGCCATGATAAACAAATGCCCTTTGTTTAACACTACGTGCGGCCTTGGGTCATCCATATCCAATAGTGTGTGCTCATCCTGTGATTTATGGGTGGTGTAGAGCTTAGGCCTGTCAACTTGACCTCTGGAGCTCTGGGAGAGACTAGGGAGAGACTAAGGCCAGGCCCAAAGGGCTCCCCTTGTCCACCAGACAGAGCTCACACAAAAAGGCCCCAGAGTTACATGCAAGCCAAACTTGACAGGTATTCTAGACACAGTTCCCTAATGACCGGCCTCTGCACCCTTCTTTCCCTGTGCTAAATTGTCCTTATTCAAATAATATAACTGATATGGCTCAAGATCACTTTCCCCTCATGTTCATCAAAGTTGAGCACCTTAAAATTTCCAGTCACCAATTTAAACTTCTTTGTAGAGTAGCAGTCTCTCTCTTCCTGTGACTACATCACCTGGGGCCAACAGCTGAAAATCAAGGTCTCCTCAAACTCAACATTTGCTGAGCCTTTGTCTTTTTTCCTTCACCAAAGGACAGGAGAGCATTTTATTATTGTACATGTATCACCAGTTCAGCCACAAATGAAAACATGATTAGTCCCAAAAGTCTGAGAGGTCCAGGGCAACAGACCAAAAGGTCTTGGCATCCAGAGCAAGAAGACAGAGGTCTCTCATTGCAACCCAATGCCCATGGAATGTTGTAGATTCCATTGAATCCACGCTCTAAAAAGTAGGCCTGCAGTCCAGCACACTTGGTATCAGCATCCCTGCCTTCTGGCTTTCCTTGTATCATGGTCCTCTGGCTCCATGGGCGGCACCAGCCAGCAGTTTACACCTTTGGCTCTGCCTCCTCTTTCTTTTATGGCTAAAAAATCCTGCAACATTTCTTCCTCTGCTTGGCTCTCAAATAGGACAGAGGTGGTTTCCAAGAAGATGGCACACTAAAGGCCAAGAGCCACCTCCGCAAAGGCTTGCTCCTTAAATAAGGTTAAACCAATACATAAGGTGGTCAGGGAACACAAAAGCTTTTAAAAACTTACTCATTCCAAAAAAATCAGGATGCAGAAAAGAAGTTCCACATCACCTATCACAAAGGGCTCTGCTAGTCTTCTACTCTGAAGTTAACTGGGGTCATCAAACCTCTTAAGAATTTCCACATTCTAAATTTTGCTTCTTGCAGTAACTCCGTTGGATAAGTGGTGTAGAGTGCTAGGATCATTGTGGGGGGCAGTGTCCTGCACACCATCAGAAACTCAAAACAAAACCACTTTATTACAAATACAGCACTACAGCACA